TTTTTTTTTTTTTTTTTTTTTTGGTAAAGCTTTGCTGCTGTGTCATCCATCCACATTATTCCTGTCTGGCTGTAGATATTCTGCTTGTTCCCTATCTGTGTTTGTCAAAGCTGTGTTCAGTACTGCACAGGCTGAGGAGGAATTCACCCATAATGACACTGTCTTTACCCCAGACTGCTCCCTTGTGTTTATGTCCACCCTTCCTCCAAACTAAGGGAATACTTTAATGTATTAATTACAAAAGCAAAATGCTTCCTTTAATAACATCCATGCAAACCAAGAATAATATATAAATAAATAAATAACCCTCTACCCTGACCTGTATTTAAGTGTAGAAACTGCTATTCTCCTACCTCCTCTAAAATCAAAGCAGATACACACACACACACACACACACATATTTATATATATGCCTACCCTCACTCCAAGGTAGAAAGAATCTAATCATCAGTGGCAAACCATTAATATCAGCATCACCAGAATCTTGCTATAAATACTAAATCTCAGGCCCCATTTGCAACCTATGAAACCAAGATCCCCAGTTAAACTGAATGCACAAAAAGTCTGAGTAGTACTGACCAGCATAATGACCACAGCCTTCCAACTCCAAGATAAAAGGCCCTAGGCCTGACCAACAGGTCTGTTAAATCCCTCAAGGGAAAAATGGCTATAAATACCCCAAAGCCTGAAGATCTACACACGGGCACAATTCTACCCTCACCCTAGAATCCCCACAACAGACATCACCTTTATGTTCACCCAGACATTTCTTAGTCCACAAAGATTTTCATTATCACTGTAGGTTTTCTTCTCTAGATTACCCCTTCAAAACCCCCGTGCAAAACAAAATAAAAAACGATGGAGGCCATCCTTATTAAACTCTGGTACAGTTGGCTGGACCAAATCAAGAATTTTAGGAGTCTAACAGACCTTGATTTGTTTACCAGACTGACCACTGTGTAACCTCAATCAGTTTATTCAGTCTTTCTGAATATCTTTCTATCTGTAAAGTAGAAAAAGCAGCTACCCCCTTTCAAGTGTTTCTGAGGATTAACAAAAGGTTTCTGAGCTAGGCATGGTGGCACACACCTCTAATCCCAGTTAATTATGAGGCTGAGGCAGGAGGATTCCAAGTTCCAGGACAGCCTGGGTAAAACCCAGGTAAAACCCTGTCTCAAAATAAAAAATAAAAAGGGCATTTGGCACAGTGCCTGGCACAAAGTATTTTACCTGTGAGGTAACCATATAAGTTATATACAAACTAAGACATTTTTGAAAAAGTGGAAAATATTAATAATTGTATCAGGACTATATTCTTCAACAGAAACCCTGTTAGACAAACTGGGAGGCATGATCATTCTCGTCATTCACGTCTAGAAATGTTTTACTCAAAAAGCCTTCTTCCTAATGGCTCCCTGATCCAACCTCTCCAAATTTCAACCTCCTTCTCTCTGTAATAAAAGAAAATCTGAGAAGGAAACAGCACAGGCTACCATGCAATGAATCAAAAGACCTGAGAAGCAAAAGCTCATTTCAATAAGCAAAAGCCCACTTGTGCCTGTCAAACTCACAGCTGAGGATGGATAGGCACTTAATCTTTTTTATTGAGTTTTACTATTTTTTGGAGATCAGCTCTACGTATTCCAGGCTGACCTTGAACTCACTAGTACCTGAATATAAGCTGGCCTCAAATTCACAATCCTCCCCGCCTCAGCTTTTCAAGTGTTGAGACTATTTTTTTTAATAATCTTTTGTGCCAAGAGTCAACTAGGCACTCAGAAGATACTAAAAGCCATTACCCAACACAGGCTGAAGTGAAAACTTTCTTTCTAAGGCAATGTCTCAAATGTTTTCTCCTACAAATTTCTTTTATCAGTACTTTCACAAAGCATCCAATTTGTTTTTGAAGTCAATTCAAATTTTTTAATTGTTCTCCTTTGAAAATGTCTCCTTCTCTATTATAGTTAACCTCCCAAATTCTTGAACAACTCAGGGAAGTAAGAAAACCAACAGCTCAAAGTCTGCTACAGACTATGGTTTGAACATGTTCATGTATTGAAACTTAATCTTTATCAATATGTAGAGGTAGGGCTCTCTGATAGCATAACTGGCTTGATAAAGTGAGACTGGAACTAGCATGCCTGTAGGTCTCCCCATCCCTTCACTATGCTACAATGCAGCAGAAAGGCCCACAAAGACGTCAGCACCATCTTCCTGGACTAACCCATCTTCCAGGACTGTGAGTCAAGTATACTTTTATTCTTTATAAATCACTCAGCCTCAGGGACACAGTAATAGATGGTGGACAAACAGTGGTCTGAAATAGAGAATCCCCTCACAGATGCAAAATGTAAACAGACTGACTTCCGGCTTAAAGTTTATAGTCTCAATTCTGATTGTTTCCATCCTCAGCATAAGAACCTATCTTCTCATGGCTCCTCAGCTACCAAAACTCAGCACAAAATTGTTCAGGGTAGGCCAGGCAGAGTGGTACGTATCTGTAATCAGGGCATCTGGGAGACTGAGGCAAGAGGATCACAAGTTTGAGCCCAACCTGGGCAATTTGGTAAACTTTTATCCCAAAATGAGAAATTAAAAAAACAAAACCATTAGGCTGGGGATGTAGCTCAGTGAAAATCCAGGGCCTTCTCATTGAGCTACATCCCCAATCCTTTTTGATTTTTTTTTTTTTTTTCATTTTGAGAAAGGATCTCACTAAGTTGCCAAGATTGGATTTGAATTTGTGATTCTCCTGCCTTAGCTTCCCAGAATGCTGGCATTACAAGCAAGCACCTTATCTGGACAAAAATGTTGATTTTGAAACATCAATTCTGGTAGCTTTAAGAGAAAGAATAAGCATTAAAAAGTCCAACATTTATCACAATCATATCAGTGGCTGTTTGTACTATGGCTCATACCAATCCACATTAGAGTAGCTAGAAGTTTCTCTAGCACACTGCTTTTCTAAATTTAGTTTTTTGAGACAGAGTCTCACTATGTAGAGTTCAGGCTGGCCTTGAACTCACTGTGTAGCCCAGGCTAGCCTCAAACTCACTACGATCCTCCTGCACCAGGTTTCCAAGTGCTGGCATTGATTACAAACATGTGTCAAGACACCCAGCACTCCAATTTTAATATACACACATCTTAATTTTTAAAAACACTTATTAAAGGTGGG